ACTGTCATTTATTTAAAAGCAGTGGTGGATCAATTTACTGGATCACTAAACAATAATCACAATTAATCAATTTAAAAAAAAATTAATTTATAAAGCTCAGTTGCACGGTCGGGTTCATGTATTCAAATATCTGTTCCAACGTTGCCCGAGCAATAGTCATGCTAATTAAACCATCACCGTAATAGTACTAGCGGTATAACGGAAATTCTTGAAAGATACTGCATTTTTTTATACCAAGGTGCCACTTGGTACAGTTGTTCCTTCGAGCCATTTAAACGATTTGACCCGAAGAACACTTGACATTTTCCGTGTGGGTAGATTTTAGAAGGGGTGGGGGTGATTTATTGTAATATTTTTTTAAAAACTAAATATCGCCTAGAAACGAGATCTGGGTGTCGATTACGTATGATTTTAACCCCAGGAATCGAATGGTAGCGCCAGAAATGTTATCCGGATACCGGAAGTCCGTGAAAAGCCGCTATTTTTAGAAAATGACAGACTTTTGATCGAATTATATTTTTAAGGCACACCGGGTCGTGTAAGGTGTCTAGACTTATGTTTTTGGGGTCAGGGAATTCATTTTTGATAACAAATATAACCTACTGGCATCGGAACTGCATGAGAGGCTTCCCAACTGCACTTTTTGAGGACATCGCGCGCGGTGAAACCCAAGATATTCCAAAGTTTTAATATATAAACTTATATTATTTTATTTAATAAAAATACCCATTAACAAAACATAAGATATATTAAAACATGGGGTAAAAAATGTTTAAGCCTATGAAGAATCACCAAGTACATCGCTGACCTCCTCTGAGATTGCGTTATCACCACTGAAAAGGAATTTTACATATAAATATTAAAGGTTCGGTAGTAAATTATATCGAAAGTATACAATATTCTTACCCTTTGTTTGAGCAATCTCCCATACATTTTTGGCATGCAGGGGAACATGGTAATCCGTGTCGCCGCAGCACGAGTTGGAGGAGCACATAAGAAGGGCGGCGTATGTCGCTGGCCATATCTGGGGATGTGCAAACCAGGTGATGAGAAGCTCTACAAGTCCAGAAGGATGGGGATGGACTCTTGAAGCCAAAGGCTGGAAGGTTCTGTAGTCCAAGCTGCCACAAGTATGGAAGGCAGTCCGTGCTCTGAACAGGTGTGGCTGCGAGACCCTTCGGTGCAGCTGCCGGCGAGACGGATTGCCATGTTCCCCTGCATGCCAAAAATGTATGGGAGATTGCTCAAACAAAGGGTAAGAATATTGTATACTTTCGGATATACCTAATTTACTACCGAACCTTTAATATTTATACCGAGTGAATATTCCCAAAACGAACATACGGAATTAACATGGGAAAAGGGATTTTTGTAGATAGTTGCTTCCCCATGTTAACTTAGAGGGTTGATCATGACACCAATCGAAAGAAGATTCTTTTCCTCGTCTAATTACGAATTAGTTCATTTTCAGGTGTATTTCTCACTATATTATCAAAAACTCGAGAAATCCACTTACCAAAATCATGTTAAGCCATGACTAAGACAAAAAGCAGATTCAAACATCGAAATCAATATCAGTTTATGACGCCTGGCATTTTAAAATTTGTAAAATGCGGTTCACTGAGGAAATGTACATTATATATCAAGGTAGAGAAGTACAGTATTATTGCCTGAGCACCAAGATTACATCACGAGACGCTTGCGCCGAGGGGTGTAAGGTGCGAAGGCAATAATAGACTTCTCTACCGTGGTATATATACCATTTTTTTCACTACTAGCACTTGAAGTCCTCTAAATTAACATATTATATTGATAGGAAAGTGAACGGGTTGGACAGAATTTTTTGTTTATTAATTTAACATCAATCAAGTGTGTAGCGAAGTACAAGTCAAACAGGCCGGATCTTGTTCTGTCATTGAGATATTTTCAAACAGTAATTTCGTTCGAATTTTTTCAAAATGTGATAATTTTAGGTATGTAATTTCTCTGGAAATGGCGAATGGTGGCAATTATTCATTTTAGAGAACTTGTCCAAACGTTTATTGAGCGAAATTTCGGGTTGTGTTTTCTGAAAGTGACAGCGTGACAGTTCTCATTATTGACTACTAGTTAATAATGTCCACATTATTAACCACTTTGAACAAATGCCAAGAAAGCCTACTTTAAGTGGAAAAAAGGTCAATAATCATGTCATCAGACGCTAGTAGTGAAAATAGTACATTATATATCAAGGTAGAGAAGTCCACTATTATTGCCTGAGCACCAAGATTACATCTCGAGGCGCTTGCGCCGAGGGGTGTAAGGTGCGAAGGCAATAATAGACTTCTCTACCGTGGTATATATACTATTTTTTTTCACTACTAGCACTTGAAATCCTCTAAATTAACATATTATATTGATAAGAGAGTTAACGGTTGGACAGAATTGTTTGTTTCTTAATTTAACATGTCAATCAAGTACGTGGAAGTAGGTACAAGTCAAACGGGCCGAATTTTGTTCTGTCATTGAGATTTTTCAAAGAGTAATTTCGTTCGAATTTTTTCAAAATGTGATAATTTTAGGTATGTAATTTCTCTGGAAATTGCGAATGGTGGCAAAAATTCGTTTTAGAGAACTTGTCTAAACGTTCATTGAGCGAAATTTCGGGTTGTGTTTTCTAAAAGTGACAGCGTGACAGTTCTCATCATTGACTACTAGTTAATAATAAAAAATTATTAACCACTTTGAACAAATGCCGAGAAAGCCTACTTTACAAGTGGAAAAAAGGTTAATAATCATGTCATCAGACGCTAGTAGTGAAAAAACAGTATTTTGTTTTCCGTGCATGTGAAAACCTATTTCAATTCGTTAGGAAATTTCCATGGCTTAACATGATTTTGCTAATTGGATTTATTGCCGAATTTTTGATAAAATAATGAGAAATGCACCTGAAAATAAGCTAATTCGTATATCATTAGATGAGAAAAAAATCTTCTTTTGATTGGTGTCAATACAAATCCTCTAAGTTAACATGGGGAGCAACGATCGGCAAAAAACGTTTTTCGCATGTTAATTTCCTACGTTCGGTTTTAAAATATTCACCCGGTATGTGAAATTCTTTCACCACTGGGGATAACGCAATCTCAGAGGAGGTCAGCGATGTACTTGGTGATTCTTCATAGGCTTATAAATTTTTTACCCCATGTTTTAATATATTTTATGTTTTGTTAATGTGTATTTTTATTAAATAAAATATTACAAATTTATATAGGTATTAAAACTTTGGAATATCTTGGATTTCACCGCGTGCGACGTCTTCAAAAAGTGCAGTAGGGAAGCCTCTCATGCAGTTCCGATGCCAGTAGGTTATTTTTGTTATCATAAATGAATTCCCTGACCCCAAAAACATAACTCTAGACACCTTACACGACCCGGTGTGCCTTAGTAATATAATTCGATCAAAAGTCTGTCTTTTCTAAAAATGGCGGCTTTTCACGGATTTCCTGTATCCGGATTACATTTCTGGCGCTACCATTGGATTCCTCGGGTTAAAATCATACGAAATCGACACCCAGATCTCGTCTCTAGGCCATATTTAGTTTTTTTTTTAAATGTTACAGTAAATCACCCCCAACCCCTCTAAAATCTACCCACACGGAAAATGAACGTGTTCTTCGGGCCAAATCGTCTAAATGGCTCTAAGGAACAGCTGTACCAAGTGGCACCTTGGTATAAGAAAATGCAGTATCTTTTGGTATACCGCTAGTACTATAAGGTTCACTTCATTTGCCTACAATAAGACGTATCACGTATTCTCATAAATTAACGTCATCAACACTGGATGAAAACATTGAATATTACTTATTCAATGGTATAAGTATATAAAATGTAAATATAATTAGGAAAATTTCAGGTGCCATTGGCTTCAATTTCCAAGAAGATCTGATAGACAATTGCCACAGACTGCCAGACAAAAATCAAGGGGAGAACGGTGCTGTGTCTATAATTGTTAAGTTCACCAAATATGTAGACAAAGAAATTTTTTTTTAATTAAAGCTGTTTTATACGCCAATGAAAGCATGTCTCAACTGAATAAAATTTTATTTAAGAAAGCCAAAACTTTACAGAGAGAAAATAAAGTCAAGCACGTGCGGTTTAATAATGGACGAGTCTTCATAAGGCGTACTGAGGACGCTCCCAAACTAATAATACGCCATTTAAATGATCTAACTTTCTGAATCCACAATTTATTTCCTTTTGTGTTTTATTTTTCCTTAAAACCATATTAGGTTTGTGAGTCCGCACCGTCTTTGCTATTCTCAGAGCTCTCTAGACATAGCTCTTCATTGTCAGGTTACGTATATATTTTCTGTTCACTTTTTTTCTCTTAGTTTGATTTTGTTAAGTTCAGTGTTATCAAGAACAGGTGAAATAATAGCTGTTAGCGTTTGTGTCGGTTTCGTGCCCGGGGCAAGGCCCGGGATTCGAGGTCATATTTCGGCAGTTGGCCCGAAGTGCCCTATTTCGGCAGTTGTTCCGGTGTACGGGGTCATATTTCGGTAGCCCCCCGGCGATGGTTAGGCAATTGGCGGGGGCCCCGAGGTATTTGGGTAGTTGGTCCGGGGTATTTCGATAGTTATCCCGTGATCTTGATGCTAAACCCACCACTTTGGCGCCATCGGTGATTGCTGAAGAAATTTTTTTATTGGCTTTGGGGTTCGAACCCACGATACCTGAATTAGAAAGCTAGCGCATGACCAGTTAACCTGTGGAGAATTTCACAATTTTATAGTTAAGTTGAAGGCAATAAAAAAAAGCAAGACGTACTTTGAACTTTAGTTATTTTGCAAACTGTACATCATTTCATTTATTTCTAGGAATGTTATATAATCTATAAATACAATCGATGAACCGTAACTTTCAACGGAATGTGTTATACTTTAACGTGTTAATTGCCGCTTTAATATTTAACATCCATAGTGATGTTGATGGAAATTTTACACTTTGTAACTTACAAAAATGACGGTAAAATTACAGGGAAATTTCAGAAACCCTATAAATTACTGAAATCTTTGAAATTTATGAAATTTATTAAGTTTCATAAATTACATAAATTACGGTAACTTACGTGAAATTTCATCAAGGTTAACGAGTTTCATTTTACCCCTCCCATTGCTTTTATTGGAATTATGTTGCATTGTGCTTACGGCTTACCGCGTGTCGCCTTGTGTAATTGTGCTGACTTTAGTTTTGCGTACCTATGCCTATGCGTCTCTTGTGTGTTGTGTTGACGAATCAGTAAAATAATATACCTAATCTATTGGATTCAACGAACAAGGTATCTAAATTAAATTATTAATGTTGTCACAAAATTAAGATCACATAAATCTGGTAGAACGTAGAAGTACCTATTTAACAAGTAGGTAGACAGACTTAACCCGACGTTAACTATCTGTGAAATCATATGATTATATTTATTCTACTATGTCAATGCGGTAAATTTTTAAGAAAAATAAATTGCGTTTCTACCAGATATGTGTATGATATAATATATCACGTTTTTTATGATAAATAAATACAATGATGTATCAGAAACGTCAAATTTAACGTGCAGGTTATCTGTCAAAAAACGTTATTTTGCATTGTTTAGTATAGGCAAAATAACGTTTTCTACAAATAACCTGCACGTTAAATTTAACGTTTCTGAATTCTGATACATTACAGGGCTGAATCTCGAATATTTTTCCAGCATTATGGTTAAACCAAGGTCTTCAGTGTGGATGTATTTTGAAGAATGTATAGATAGTAATAAAAAAACAACATGTGTTCAATGCAAATTTTGCAAAGAAAAATATTCAAAAAATTCCACTAGGATGAAAATCCATATTGGAAATTGCATGAAAGCCCCCACCAGTATTCGCTCTAAAATGACAGCTTCATCGCGTACGTCTAGTCCTAGTACTAGTACTAGTACTACTAGTTGTAGTCGTCATGAGAGTAATGTTGAAAAAAATACAGTACGCACTTTATCTGCCGTTACACCCGTTAAAAAATCAAATTACATTTCTAACAAACAAAGATCCATGGTAGAAAGTTTTGTAGACGTAATGAAAGTAGAAGAACATCAACAACTGACAGCCTTATTTGCAAAGGCAGTGTTTACTAGTAATACACCACTATCAATTACAGAAAACAGAAACTGGAAACTATTCTTTAAAAGACTGAGACCCTCCTTTACGTTACCTGGGCGATATCTGTTATCACATCGTCTACTTGACGAAGAATTTGAGAGAGTACAAATTCATGTGGAGGAAACTTTGAACATTTCAGAAAATTTGGCCCTTCAGTGTGATGGGTGGTCAAATTTAAGAAACGAAAGTGTCATTAACGTTATCATCACAACCCCGCGCCCTTTATTTGTCAAGTCTGTTTTAAGTGGCACTGCAAGTCATACTGCTACCTATTTAGAAGGTATCATGTTAGAGATAATCGAGAAATATGGGTCACATAAATTTAGCGCAATAGTTGCCGACAATGCCGCTAATATGCGTAAAGCAGCACGTAACATACAAGAGAAATATCCCCATATTGTGTCATATGGTTGTATGGCACACACTCTTCATTTGATGTGCTCAGATATATTGCGAGTAGAATCTGTTGAGCAGATCATTGTGTCTGTTAAGAATATTGTTAAGACCATAATGTCCAGTCAGATATTGCGAGCAAAACTAGAAGAAATAAAAAAGGACATGAAACTTACAACTTCGTTAAGTATGCCTGTCAAAACAAGGTGGGGTTCACATGTTAAATCAATGGAAGATCTCGTTAAGTGCAAATTTGCCTTGCAAAGACTTAGTATAACAGAAGACACACAAAAAGTTGTTCATACTATAAAACCCGTTATCCTAAGTGAGGATTTTTGGGTCAGTGTGGAGGTGTAATAAACCTTTTAAAGCCCATAACACAAAGTATAACACTTCTGGAAGGTGATAGTCCTTCTATTCATTTAGTGTGCAAATCCTTCAATGCAATAAATTTAGAATTTGATTCTAATTTACAACTGCTAAAATTACAAGAAACGGAGAGGAATAACATATTACAAAAATTTTCAGAAAGGCAGCAGTATGCAATGCAACCTGTCCACATGGCTGCTGATCTGTTAAATCCTCACTCTGTTGGCTCATACTTGTCAAGTGAACAAAAAATGCGTGCTATGAAGTTTATTAATGGTTTGGCAAAAGACATGATGTTGCCAACTGCAATAGCAGAATTAGGTCACTACATGGGCAAACTCCATTTCTTTGCAGAGAATTTTTTGTGGGAAGTACTACCTACGGTTGATGCAATAACTTGGTGGAAAGGTTATTGTGGAGATCTCTCACTTTCAAAATTAGCTGTACGGATTCTCACAATGCCATGTACATCAGCTGCCACCGAAAGAAGCTTTAGCACTCAAAGTTTAATTCACACAAACAGAAGAAATAGGTTAACAAGCAAAAGAGCTATAAAACTAAATTATATTCAGCACAACAGTAAATTGTTTAGTTCTCAAGAACCTACGACGGTTCAGGATGACAGAAACTTCCAGCATCAGCAATCAAATATTAATAACCCTGAAGCACCACCTACTAGCAGTTCCAAAGAAAAGTACTCACGAAAATCATTCTCAACCAATCAAGTTTGTTCAGAGAGTTCTGATTCTGACTCTGTAAGTTACATAGGTACAGTACAGCACCTGTATGTCCTATTACAATTTATTTTCTGTATAGAATATTTCGTGGACGTCGGATATAGAAGGAAATGGAAACTCTGACGATGACTTTAGTTACAATGATACCCCGTCTGATGCAGAAGAGGAGCATATTGATGAAACTCCCCAAACCAAAGGACAGAAACGCAAACGCGATACTACTTGTCTACTTAGTGCAAGTCATATTGCTGGTTCCGACAGTAAAGATGATTCATTAGAAGTACTGGTAATATAAGTGAACAAGTACCTTTTCCGATATATTATATTATTTTACTTTCAGAACTGCAGTATACATAATGCAGATGAGTCCGTATATGATCCTGATCCCCAAGAATCCCTACTCGAATCTGATCTTCAGTCAATAAGCTGTAAGTCGTTTTACAAAGAAACAATACCGATAACACGCAGAAAGTAGCGTAAAGTACAAGTACAAGTGATTCAACCATTTTAGTTAATTAAAGAAGACTGTGAATTTCTTTTTTATTAGTTTGATAAGTAGTTCATTTGTTTCGTGCTATAGCATAAGTTTATGTCTATTATACAATGTTACTTTGGGTTAGGAGTTTAAGTTTTTAGTTTTTCTTATGTTGATTTACAATATACCTACTTCTAAACGTATTACCCATGAGTCTTTTCCAGCAAAGTATCAAACATCCACACTACACAATAAAATATCTTCCAAAACTCGTATATTTCATAAATTTCATAAATTACAGACAAAACTGTAAGTTACGTCATAAATTACGTGGTAAGTTACAAAAAGATAAATTTCATGAAATTAAACATCACTAAACATCCAGTACAGCAATTTAAAAATGTAAATTACGTTTCTAGATTTCTACGAGAATGTTATATTTTCGATGATGTTATGGAATGTGCGAAATTGTAGTAACAACTCATGCGAGTATTTATTACCTATACTACCGTAATTTTATGGAAAGGGTCAGTTTTTATTAAAACGAGAAATTAATACTCGTAAACAAGAAGACTCCACTGATTTTTATGTGCAGAGAACAAATTTTTTCGAAAAAATTACAAAGTTTCCTTTTCTATGCTACTTGGTACATCTGTACACCCACAATGACATTAAAGTTTTGTATATGGACAAAAGCAACTTAATTACTACTAAAGGCTGTGGTACATTGGAAACTAATCACGGCAGATGAATATAGGTGCAATACTCCCGGCCCAACTGCCAAAATGAAACCCAGGTCAACTGCCGAAATATTTTCCCACGGTTCAAAAAATTTTCCCACGCTTAAGTGCTGCAAATCTTGTACAACCCCTTTCTGTTAAGGATCCGTGTGTAAACCACACGAACCCCTCATGTTTTAGGGGGGACGTTGAATTTCATTTTGAATGGGGAAGGTTGCACCATCCTCCAACAATCTGTTCTTGAGTTATAAGGAATTATTTATTTATACTCCCCCTCCCCCCGGGAATTCTTAAAACATGCGCAAAAAATTATGCGTAAAAAATTGTCACCTTGCTTACGTGATACTCTTTTTTCTGAAGCACCTGCTTCTTTATATCACTTCTTTGCACTTCTCTAAAAACCGAATGTATTCTATCTGTTACCTTTGTTAGCTGTTTTCGACCATTCAAACCTTTTTCTACTGTTCTTATTGGTCGAATCTCAAAATTGGGGTACTTGCTGAATTTAAAAATAAATTCTCTACAATTTTTATTCTATGGGCTTTTCATTTGGGCTATGGTGTATAGACCTTTGAAAATCCTTGTCTTTCGCTGTTCGTTTTTCACCTGAACCGTGTGTGTGCTGTGCTTTGGTCGTTGGGTGGAGTCGGGCCCCATTTTTTGAAGCCGTGCTTCCGGCTTCACGGTTTTAAAATTGTCTTTATAAAGTTTATTGAAAAAAGTTTAGTAGGGAATTAAGGGACTTTAAGTATGTCGTGTTAAATTGAATAGGCGGAGTTTTCAGTCACGTATTCGGAGAAAAGTGTAAGTGTTATGTTATGTAATAAAGAAGAGGAGGCTGAGCTGAGCCGAATTCAGTATTTGTGTTCTTCTGTACGTGTCTGTTTAATGGAAATCGCAGCGTAAGATCCCATAGTTCGATTATTGACAATTTCAAGGTAATTAAGACTTTATTTAACCTGTTTCGATCTAGCGATAAGAGTTTCATATAACTACTGAGCTAGCTGGATAGGTGTTTTGTGGGTGGCCATTTCACACACCAATACGTAAATATTCCTATTTATACTTATAAGAGTTTTTAACCCTTGTATGTAACAAGCTTTTATAGACATTAAAGCGGTTCTTACGGATTGCACTCAGTTTTTCCACGCAGTCATTGAATATGATTTTTGGTTCTCCAGGTCTCGCACCATACCTCAAGTCGCATTAAAACCGAACTTGTCTCTCGAACAAAATAGAAGCGCCAAAACACGCGACAGAATTCCTGTACCACTTTGAGTTCCAAAGCGTTCCCCGTTTCTTCATGCATGATGTTATTGCGAAACTCTCAACCTCAGCCTCAATTAGGGTACCTATGCAGCGATAACTACTCTTATGAGAAACTTTATACAATAACTACGCAAATATGCCCAGATATCTAAATCTAATATTAAGTGTAATGTGAACAATAAAATAAACAAATACCAATGATTTAATCCAATTAAAAGTACAATTTAATAAACTCTAATACAATCATAATTGTGTTTCAAACAAAATACGGCTTAACAAAAAATGAAACTCACAAACAGTGTGTTCCATCGCTATTGCACCTGTCGAAGCCAAATAAAGCATCCTCAAGACGTAATTTACACAGTAATATGTGTAAGTAGGTATATTATGTAAACCAATAAACGGAAAAAATAAAAATACAGTTAGGGAAAGACAAATCCACTCATTATTTACCTTTATTCAAACTTTTGGAACTAAAGTTGCAAAGAATTTATATTCACAAACTTAAGCCTTTCGGAGTATTACAAGGGAAGAATTGGCCATCACCCACTCTTTTGAAGTTGAATTACGAAGGTCGAGTGCGAATTCAGTTTTACTTTGTATTAGTACTACATTACCGACGCAAGGACAGAGCTCTAGATATTCAAAGTTTGTGATCTTTTAATGGATTTTCCTGGTTCTTGTACCTGATTACTACCAAATTATAATGTGTTGTTACTAATGTCAGTTGCCACTTCAACTTGGAAGTTCCACCTTACACTTAATCCAATTCTAAAGTTAACTTTAGAATTGGATTAAGTTCCCGATTTAGATAAACCAGGGGACGAAAGCGCAGCCTAATATGGAATTCCGTCAAGATCAAAAGCAACGGAAAATGGAAACCAATACATGTGATCGTATCAATGTACATTCCGAGTTGAACTTTACTTCTGACATTCTCTACGTAATTCATGGGGAATTCCGGGTTTGATATGGAATGCGACCCTTCTACATCTCCGCGGCCAAAACATGTTCAATACTAATTTCTAAAATGGCAATTGTTTAAAAGATCAAGTTGTGGGAAAATTACAGACGGCCTGAATAATCGCATGAAATTCACAGACTTTGAGCCGGTAATTTTTAAGTGTTGATATTCCCTAATTTCCAATTGTCGCTAAGTAGAAAGGGTAGGTATACGAATTTCAAAGCTTAATTTTCTGCTTTGAGCGGGTGAACTATTTACGTTACTTGTATTGTGTAATGGTACCTAGCTCAAAGCAAGGCCAGAATAAAAATTTAAATTTCAGTCTTTTGTAATTGCTTTTAATTATTTGCCGCCAACCCCTATGAAACAATAATACAAAGGAAAATTACCATAAAGCTAATAATTAGCCGTCATGAAATTTCTCAACAAGTGCTTTTAAAAGGGCAAGTAGTAAGAGCTTTATCACACTCCGATTTGTGGAACGCTTTACTGAAGCAGTACATCCCTCGCCATTTCATAAAACTTACTAAGAGTGTTCGCACTTTCAACCGCATCTACGGCCTATAAAAACATGATGGTATTTCATGTGTAAGTCAGGCTATCCATTCTGTAATGCGGTAATAAACTACGTCAAGTGAACGCGTAAAAGATTCTTTGCCTATGATGTAAACGCTTTCTAAAAGATTGAACCAGTTTGAAGGTTACGTAAAGTTGTCAGTACCTAATCTATAAATGTTGTTTTTCAAACTATTCCTAATTATTTAATCTAATAAACTTTTGAGACGGTGGGCGCTGCGTTACTCTAACCCGCCACATATACAGTCAACTCGCTCAGGGTTAGACAATAAAATACAAGCTTGAGATCTGTCGCAGGGGTAGTTCGTCCTGGGCCTATGATCTTCTTAACTTGATCGTTGCACTTAACATTGGGGTTGAGTGTCACTCAATTTCTGTCTTAACTCTCACCATATAAAATTGCGAGGGTAGTAATAACAGCGCGAACCAATTTAGGTACCAAAAGAAATACTTGTTTATTTTCAAAAATCAACCCAAAGTAAAATTGTCTCCACAATACACACGAATAAAAAATATTCCCCAAACATTCAAAATTATTAATTACACCACTCAAAACCGTGAATATGTTAAATGTGCAATTGGAATTCCAAAATGAACCAAACCCCCCAATCCAGAATGATCGATTCGCAACTGATTACTGAATCATAAAACTTTCCACAATTAAATTGATATTCCGGGTAAATTCGCACGTATAGAGTAAAGTATAAGTAAAACATATAAGGCTCTTACCTTAATTCAAGTTAGACGTTGACGCCAAGAAGTGAGCTTAGTCTCGCATCCAAAACCTTAAATCAATCAAAAGAAACCCTCCCAAGCCGCAGGGCTCGGTATAAATAATTAATTGCTTTATAATGCCTGAAGGGCGTCGCTCTACTCGTAATCTGCTTCTATACCAGGAACCGTACTTAATTGGTCAACCCCTTCATAAGGATATGGTGGTCTCCAACAATTCGCATTTCAAACTCGGTCAAATTACTTAAAGAGCCAAAATTGTTATCAACTGAGACGCTAAAGAGTTACTGAAGTGGTATCTTATGACGATCGCTCATTTGATATTACAACTCCTTCATGACCCGGTGACCCATTTCACAGTAAAATCACCGCTTGTTATCAGCAGGTGGAAAGATATGTCAACGGGGTCGCCGGCACCCACAGACGCTTAATCCAGGGTTACAAAACTTGTACGTCGAATAGAATCGTAAGACGTATCAGGAGCTTGAAATTGAAGATAAACTGGAACTAAAATTTGAACCCTAAAAGAAAACAAAAGCAACCCATCTTCTTTAATAACATAAAATTTACATACCTCTTATAGAAGAGTCGAAGGAATTTGCAACACAACAAATTACAGCTGATCTAAAGAAGATACACTCTAAATACCCGAAATGCAAATGGCGGTACTTACAATAGGAAAGGAAGAACGCAAATGTATATCCATCCTCACTCTAGGAGTATAGATAAATCCCGGAATCTCCAAATTATGAATCCAATCGCCAGAGATCAGTATATACGGAAGATGGCAATTAAAATTCCATGCGTTCTACCTTACGCCTTGAGCTGTTTGATTAAGCGACCTGTATTGCGATAAGGCTTATGAAGGAAGGAAATATAAAAGCTGACACCTACCAATCAACGTAAGAAAATGCGCCGTCACAATTACGCCGAAAAATTGCGTTGTCAAATTCCAAAATAAGTGTATCCAATTATCGTTAATCGTTACAAAAGTTACAGAGATCTTTCAACAAGTACTAAACCGGAAACAATAATTATGCTCT